CCCTCTATAATCCCCTTCCCCTCTACCATCCCCTCTGTCGTCCCCTTTCCCTCTATAATCCCCCTTCCCCTCTACCATCCCCTCTGTCGTCCCCTTTCCTTCTACAATCCCCCTTCCCTCTACCATCCCCTCTGTCGTCCCCTTTCCTCTATAATCCCCCTTCCCCTCTACCATCCCCTCTGTCGTCCCCTTTCCTCTATAATCCCCTTCCCCTCTACCATCCCTCTGTCGTCCCCTTTCCCTCTATAATCCCCCTTCCCCTCTACCATCCCCTCTGTCGTCCCTTTCCTTCTATAATCCCTTCCCCTCTACCATCCCTCTGTCGTCCCCTTTCCCTCTATAATCCCCTCCCCTCTACCATCCCCTCTGTCGTCCCCTTTCCTCTATAATCCCCCTTCCCCTCTACCATCCCCTCTGTCGTCCCTTTCCCTTCTATAATCCCCCTTCCCCTCTACCATCCCCTCTGTCGTCCCCTTTCCTCTATAATCCCCCTTCCCCTCTACCATCCCTCTGTCGTCCCCTTTCCCTCTATAATCCCCCTTCCCCTCTACCATCCCCTCTGTCGTCCCCTTTCCTTCTATAATCCCCCTTCCCCTCTACCATCCCCTCTGTCGTCCCCTTTCCCTCTATAATCCCCCTTCCCCTCTACCATCCCCTCTGTCGTCCCCTTTCCTTCTATAATCCCCCTTCCCCTCTACCATCCCCTCTGTCGTCCCCTTTCCTCTATAATCCCCCTTCCCCTCTACCATCCCCTCTGTCGTTCCCCTTTCCTTCTATAATCCCCTTCCCCTCTACCATCCCCTCTGTCGTCCCCTTTCCCTCTATAATCCCCCTTCCCCTCTACCATCCCTCTGTCGTCCCCATTTCCTCTATAATCCCCCTTCCCCTCTACCATCCCCTCTGTCGTCCCCTTTCCCTCTATAATCCCCTTCCCCTCTACCATCCCCTCTGTCGTCCCCTTTCCTTCTAAATCCCCCTTCCCCTCTACCATCCCCTCTGTCGTCCCTTTCCTCTATAATCCCCCTTCCCCTCTACCATCCCCTCTGTCGTCCCCTTTCCTCTATAATCCCCCTTCCCCTCTACCATCCCTCTGTCGTCCCCTTTCCTCTTATAATCCCCCTTCCCCTCTACCATCCCTCTGTCGTCCCCTTTCCTTCTATAATCCCCCTTCCCCTCTACCATCCCTTGTCGTCCTCTTCCCTTATAATACCTTCCCTCACCATCCTCTGTGTCACTTTCCCTCTATTCACCCCTTCCCCTCTACCTCCCCTCTGTCGTTCCCTTTCCCTCTATATCCTTCCGTCTACCATCCACTTCTGTAGTCGCCCTTTCCTTCTACATCCGCTTCCCCTCTACCTCCCTCTGTACGTCCCCTTTCCCTCTATAATCCCTTCCCCTCTACCATCCCTGTCGTCCCGTTTCCCTGCTATAATCCCCTTGTTACATCCTTGTAGTTACTTTCTTATAATCCTTCCTCATAATTCTCTGTCGTCCCGCTGTGTAGCTGTTATTTAGCCTTCTGTGTAATTTGTGTATTTCGCGTAGTGGTAGTTTTGGTATGTGGTAGTTGTTCGTTTTAATATTGGTAGATTGTGTAGTTTCCTGGTAGTTTGGCCTTTCGTAGCAGTGGTCTGTGTAGTTGGTTTAGTATGTTCACTTGCATTGTCGTCTTTGTTAGTTGTGTAGCTTGTGAGTTTGCGTACGTTGTGGTCATTAGTCTGTGTATGTGGTAGTTGTGGTAGTTGTCGATGCTTAGTCTTCTAGTCTGTGGTACTTTGGAGTTTGTTATTGTAGTTGTGGTTAGTTTCTAGTTCGTGGTAGTGTGGTAGTTGTGGTAGTTGTGGTAGTGTGTAGTTAGTGCTCGTGGTAGTTTGGTAGTGTGGTAGTTGTGTAGTGTGGTGTTGTTAGTTGTAGTATTGTTGTGGTAGTGGGTAGTTGTGGTAGTTGTGGTAGTGTGGTAGTTGTGGTAGTGGTGGTAGTTGTGGTAGTGGTGGTAGTTGTGGTATTGTAGGAGTGGTGGTAGTTGTGGTAGTCTGGTAGTTGTGGTAGTTGTGGTAGTTGTGTAGTGTGGTAGTTGTGGTAGTGGTGGTAGTTGTGGTAGTTTGGTAGATTCTGGTATTGTAGTATGGTGGTAGTTGTGGTAGTTGTGGTAGTTGTGCGTTGTGTAGTTCCTGGTAGTGTGGCCTAGTTGTGGTAGTCGTGGTCGTGGTGGTAGTTCTCAGTTGTATGGTACTCTTAGTTCCTGTACTCTTAGCTTAGTATGTTACTCAGCATTAGTTACTGCCTCAGTTGAGGTAGTTGCTTCATCTGGAGTGTGGTTACGTGGTTACGTTGTTATAGGTTACTTGCTCTAGCTTACTGCTTCACCTCTGCACGTGTAAGTGGGTCACGTGCTGCCTGAGGCAACTACTTCAGTGTCTTTGTTAATTGATGGAGTTAAAATGTTATTTATTATGGAATGAGTTATTTTGCGTCAGCGTGGAGGTGGTGGTAGTTGTGG